AAAAAAAAAAGATAGAAAAATCTTCTACCAACTTCCATTGTTATTATTGCTTGAGCCATCACCTTTTGTACCAACTGAGACGACTGCCTTCTTCAGTGATTCCATAAATTTGACTATAGAGGCTTCATCTGTGTAAATGACATCGGAATTATCACCGGCTGCAGAAGCCACATTTGCCGTATTTCCATATCCTGCTCCACTACCACTATGATGTGTAGTAGTGGGATTCATACGAGTTTTAATATGCCGTGCTTCCGATCCATTCGCGTCTGTGCGTGAAAAACGGGGATATGGATATCGTACATCCAGCAGTGCATTCGCATCATCCTCCACTGTATTTAATAGTTGTGCAAAGTAGGCATATTCTGGGTCATCTTGATACTTTGCCTGTATCCAGGCATAAATGGTGGTTCCCCACATAATGTGAATATTAAAGAAGGCATCCATAAGAAGAATATTATCTGTTCGAAGACTACAGCTGTCTAATGGAACGGGTGTGGCCATGGGTGTTTCTATATCATATGAATGTAGTGTTGGTTGAATCATCCGTACACAATTATCCACCTGTTCCCGCATAAGCCAATGTCGTTTAAACACCGTCTCATCTGGGGATATATTCAGCATCATAAAGTACTCCGATCGCCGTAGATTAAACACAAAGGATGGAAAGAGAGAGAGTGAGGAATGCAAACGAAGGGAATCCGGAACGCCGGGTGTAAACACCGCATGTCGACGCACAAATCGCACCAGCAGTGTATCCAACCACCGCGTGGCCGCATCCCAACGACTGGGATGTCGCTCCAATAGTGATACCGCCACCCGCGCCAACACCGTAGCCGCACAGGTCTGATCAAACACACCAGCACCAGCCGGTAAAGATGGATTCATTCCGCCTGTGGAGTTGCCGCTGGGCGTTGCTGAAATGGGAAGAACCACACTGGTCACGCGTACACGAGATTCACCGTGAGGAGTGCGGAAACGAGTCACGAATTGCACAAAACGACGTTTCGAATCTCCACCACCAGTCGTACTACCATTACTATGATGAAAATTATTATTATTATTACTATTACTACTAAGGCTATTGCCAGTAAGAGAGGAGGCAGTGGCATTGTTGGTGTTGGAAACATCACCGCCTCCTTTTTTACTTAACGTAGCGGTATCAAACACAAAGGTGTAAGTAACGCCTTGATCAATTGTACTTACACGCCAACGCGTTGTACCGCCTACACCCACTTGAATAGGAGAAGACTGCCGATGTGGTTTAACGCTGTTGGCCTTCTCATCCACCACACAAGGACCAAGTACACCACTCACAAGTGTATCTGCAGAGGTGTGAACCTCAAAGGCCACACCAAAGGCACTGCGCACAATAAAATTAGATTCATCCCCACCACCTGTTTCCATCGCACGAATACGAAGATCACAACGGTCAAAGTAACGTTGTAATGAAGTGGAAAACATATGATGATTAAAGGCATCACCACATATAAATGTACCTCCTGTTTGATTTACTGCTTGACGCATTTCTAAAATACCTACTTGATCAAAACTCTCTGCAAAGACATCAAGACATGCATGTACATCGGAAAGTCGTTTCTCCAATTCATTGTACATCTTAGAGGCGGAATCATAAAAAGGTGTATCTCCATCAATGATATCACGATGAAAACGCATCATTTTTTCTTTTTCAATACTTACAACTGTACCAGGTCCACGTGTACATGGTCCACCAGTGAAAAGAAGAAGTCTTCCTCCCATTGCAAAATGAGATGTTGAATTTTTATTTGCTGTTGTGGTTGTGGTTGCTGCTGCTGCTGCTGCTGCTGTGGCAGTAGGACCATGGTGAAATGCCTCTAACAGACGTACACCAACACTAACGGCTGTTCCTGTTGTACGTAATGGTCGTTTATTACTAGGAGTTACACTATCATCACATTGCAATTCCTCTACTAACGTTGTCAATGTAAATTCACATTCTTCAAGTGTCGCCAGAAATCGTCCCCGCACAGGTAGAGCATCTGTTAACTGTAGCATTGTTGCCAGTTCTGCCTGGTCATAGGCTCTATCTCCACGTATACTGTAGCAACGTGGTAATGCGGAATTTCCTAACTCCCATACGGAAACACGAGCACCAAAGGAAATAAGTCCAATAAGTGATTGTGAGGGTAACCAATCAAGACAACGTACAATATTACTCTTTAATGCTTCTAACTCCTCTAATGGGATACAAGTATCAATAATAAAAATAAAGGTTGGTCGTGTTGGTGCTGTTCCTCTAGCTACTGCTGCGGCTTCTTCTTCTGTTCCTGTGCCTAAAAGCGGTTGAGTGGCTGGTGATGTAATAGGAGGAATATACTCCACAGTATCGTAATGTAATGCCGGGTGTTGGGGATTGTAACTAGGCGGTGTGGGATTACGCCGTAGACAAGAGAGACACACCCAAAACTTTCCCTCTTCACGGTAACAGTGTTTATTCCAAAAGGCTCCACAGTTTGGACACTGTTGACCCTTCGCCGCTGGATCACCAATCACCAAATGACTCACATCAATAGGTTGTAAAGGTGTATACATACAAGCAAGTGGAATAATCATTTCTGGCATAGGAATAGAAACAGCAGAGACATGTTCAGATTTGGAATCGCGGTACGTATTTGGATACGTGCTCCACGTCCAGCGAAGTCCATTCTCATCCGTAGCATTTGGAGATGCCACGGATTGATCATACCCAAGACCTTGAGTATTAGCAGCATTCCCACCAGTTCCAAAGGCAACAGATTGGGCAGAGGATGATCCAGTCATTCCCATGGCATCCACTCCACCGTTACCAACATTACTCGCACCATAGTTTTGCTCTTGATAATTGTAAGTTTGTTGCCACTGTGGAAGGCTGTTAACATTGTTGATGTTATAGCCATTATTAGTCTGATTTTGTTGTTGTTGCTGTGATTGTTGTTGCTGCTGCTGCTGAGGTTGTTGTTGTTGTTGTTGTTGTTGTTGAACGTATTGTTGCCCACTGTACACCCCACCGTAGGCAGTGGAACTCATATCACTATGTGGATCACCGGTCACAGTTGGGGAGTAATACGATCCATAATCCCCACTAACTGCATTTGTGCCGTATGAATATTGTTGTTGCTGTTGCTGCTGCTGTTGTTGTTGTTGTTGCTGCGGATAAGCTGTTGCGGAGTAGTCCCCATAGGGTTGTTGCTGTGGATAACCCTGCATGGCAATTTAATAACGTTATCACTGGGTTTCCGCTTTGTTTTCTCTCTTTTACTTTTCTATTTTTTTTTTGTTTGTTGTTACTCCTCTCTTTTTTCTTCCTCAGATACCACAAGTCAAAATAAAGGCAAATATCACCCACTACAACTGATTTTAAATAGTCTCAAAGTTGTGTAGTTGTTGTTGATACTGCTTTGCGCTCCCGTTAGTCTTTTTGTCAGTGCCAATGGGAGGAAGAAAATTAGAATCGCGTCGTTCTTATGTGTTTCTTTCCTTGTGTTTCTTTTTTTTGTTTTCCTTTTATTTCTTTTTTGTTCTTGTTTAATTTCCACCTATTGAACTAATTCTTTCTTTATCCTTTTGAACTATCCACACCTTCTTCCAGACCAGTTAATGTGAAGTATGTGTTTAGAACAGAAGAAAAAATAAAAGAAGAATTAAAAAAGAAAGAAAAATAAAAATAAAAATAAACAAGAAAAAAATATGTACAGATCCAATGAAATGAGGTCATCTTATTTCTTTTCCCAGTATATATATATATATATATATATATTATAAACCTCTCGTTATTCGAGCTAATGCCATACGGTCCACTTCTCTCTGTTTATCAAAGTGACTCTGAATATCATACTGCGGGTACATCGCCACAGCACGGCGGAGTAAACCTTCGAGTTTCTGCCGACGTTCTCGCAATACCACCAAATCCTCAGCGTATTTCTCCATTTCATTCAAACACGCCCCCATCCGCTCAGCCTTCACAGTCGAAGAGCGAAGACCCTGCGAAGGGGATGATAACGGTGATGATAATGGATGATATTGATATTGTTGTTGTTGAGTGAGTGTTGCGATGATAGACTCTAATCGCCGTACTTCTTCCTGTGCCTGTGCGGTGTGTTGACGGGCGGCGGCTCGTTTTGTGTCTGTTGAGATGCGAAGTAATTGCCGTTCGTTCAGTAGTTTCTCTAGATGGGCCTGCTGGAGCTCCACTGTGTGCTGCAGGCGGCTTAGCTCCTCCACTACACGCATACTGAAAAGTCGATAAATAATAATAAAAACTCAAGGAAGGAGAAACGATAATAAGAAAGGAATATTTATAGATACAAGGAGGGGAAACAAAGAAATATCTTTTTCTTTATTTTCCTGTTCCTTTTTTATTTTTTTTACTGTTATTGTTTTTTTTTTTTTTCTGTCCTTCAAAGGAAAAAATAAAGAAGAAAGGGAGAAAACAAAAACGGTAGTTGATTGTAACAACAAGGAGAAACAACAAAAAGAAAAAAAAGAATCAGGACTTAACACCATGAAGAGAGTATAAACAGACGGCAACGTGCTGAAAAGAAAAAAAAAAAAAACAGTAATAAACCGCAACTATACAGAGATAAAATAGAGACAAGTAACAAGTAGCAAAAGCGGGCTTTCACACACACACACGCACACACAAACATATATATATATATATATATATATACTCTTATCTCCTATATATCTCTCTATCTCTATCTCTCTCTCTCTGTACGAATTCTATTCCCATATTTCTCAGGGATGTATATTGCTTGTTGCTTGTAGTGTTCAGCCATGTTCTCTACTACTTTGCTTTGCTTCCTCGTTCCCTCGCTTTCTTCCTTTCTCTTTTTTCTTCTTTCCCTCTCTCTCTCTCTATATATATATATATATAAAACACAGAAAACATATAAACAAAGACATTTGCAAAACGAACAAAACAAACAACAAACAAAAAAAACAACAAAGAATAAAATATCTTTGTACAATGTTTTTCTCACTCTACTCTTGTAGCGAAGCGTAGGAGGTCGTCACCGGAGGCAATCACCACAACTCCCTGATCAAACACACGGTTATCCCCACCAGCAGCATTATGCGTACTGTTGTTCTTATTATTACTACTACCACCAGCAGTAGTAGTGTTGGCGCCCACTACTTCTCCCCCACCGTACTCAATGACTTGCTGTAGTTTCTCCTTCACCACACCGTCTGGCATTGTGAGAAGAAATCGTTGACATTTCAGTGGTGGTGGAAAACAACGCAGACCGCCCTCGTCGTATTCATCCAGCCAAAATCCCGCTTCATGCGAGGCGTAAATGTACTCTGGCTGCACAAGCCACTTGGCGGCTACAACACCGCAGAGGGCCTTCATACTACGCGGCGGGCCACGAAGAACAATGTGAGTTGCGCTGAACGGCGGCGGATCTTCATATTCACTGTCGAGCACCACGCCGTTCTGCCCGAGAGCCGCCACTGCGGCCCGCACGCGTCCACGTTCCTCCTCGCTGAGACTCGTCACCACAAAACAACGCGGCTGGTCCGCCCCGCGCTTGGGATTAACGGGCGACGGCGATCGCGTTGGTCCGCCAACGACGGAGGAGGTCCCGCTGCGCTGCCCGCTCTGAAATCCACTGCGGAGATGATGGCCGTGGTGCTCCCCACGCTGCCGGGGCGTGCGGCTGAGGGCCGTGACACTCGTCGTCATATTCGTGGCGGCCGGCAGTGGCGGCAGTGGAGTTCCGTAGTGGGCCACAAATCTAGATTCCGCACTCTTCACACTAACAGCATCCCGCTGTTGTTGTTGTTGTTGTTGTTGTTGTTGGCGATGATGATGTCGGGCCATGGCTTCAGTGATGGTACTTGTGGCGGGTCCGGGGGATACCGTCAGACTGGATGGATGTCGGGCCTTCACGGCATGCCGCTCCTCTGTGAATACCGCCGTGGGGCGAATATGTGGAGAGTCCATCTCTGTTTTTAGTGAATAAGATGTTCGTTTACTGTACGATGTGGCCGTTGGTTTACTATTAGCAGTAGTAGTAGCAGTACTAACAGCAGCGGCTGCACGATCGGCGGCTGTGAGACTTGGCGTGCGTGGTGTACGTCGTTTACGGCGAATAGGAGGAGAAGTACTATGCGTCTCTTCTCTCTCACGTTTGGTGGAGATCATACGAGTAATAAAGGTTCCATCATCGCCGTAATCATCATGAGTGAGAGTACTTTTCTTCTTTTTGCTGTTGTTCATATCATGTGAAAATGTCTGTGGAGTGGCGGCATTCTGCTTAACAGAACTACCCGTCTGCAGATAAATACTTCTATTCACAGGTGTGGATGTGACGGAAAGCCATCGACCGGCACTACTGCTACCACCTGTGTTACTTCTCACAGTTTGTTCATATTGTTTAGCCGCAGATACCAGACGTTGTGCACTCACAATCTTTCGCAGTGCCTCATCATATGTAGATATCTTGGATTGAAGTTCTAATTCGTGATTGTGTTTCACCTCTGCCAGTTCAAGACTGTACTTGGCTTCACTTTCCTCTATCGCTCGTTTCTGTTCTTCTACAATACCCATTAATTGCTCTACACGGTGTGTGAGTCGCGCTACTTCCTTTTCTAATTGCCCCACACGCGGTGTGGTTTCCACAACTTCACGTGTTTTCGCTTCTAACTGTTCTTCCAGTTGACGACAACGACTGACCAGTTGTTCATATCGCTGCAGTGATACACCACCGTGTGCCTTCATCTCTATTGGCACATGATGGGAATTATTCATTTCATTCTGCCGTACGGATCGGGCAGCGGAGGTTCGTGTTTGTGTAGATCCACGACTGATGGAAGGAACCGTATGATGAGATTCTTTTTGTTGTTGTTGATGTTGTTGCTGCTGTGCCTGTAATGGTTGATGTGGATGTGGATGATGATGATGTTGAGTACGTGCCGTGTTGGGAAGTGCAGTGAGTGCTGGAGAAACAAATCCACCAGTTGTGACGGATGGTGAGGAGAGTGTGGAGGAACTGCTGCTTGCAGGCGTTATGGTTGCGGCCGCAGCTGTGTTGATATGATTATGATTATTATTATTATTATTATTATTACTGTTGGTACTCACAGTATTCATATTATTTGTAGTATTAGTAGTATTAGTACTAGAGGAAGTACCATCCTGTCGTGGAGACAATAGTGCTAAGAGATTCTGCAATTGGCCAAGGAGTTGAGGATTGGCTGTTAATTGCTGTAGTACAGAGAGGGAGTTAGACTCCATGTTTTTTTGTTTTTTTTTGTCGTCTTTTTGTCTATTGTGTTAATCCTCTAATCTTTTTCTTTTTCTTCTTTATATATATATAT